ATTCTTTATTTCTAGTGTCAGATTGTTAAATCTCTATGGCTGTTCTGAGGTTGCACTGGGACTGGTTCTGATTCAGATTCCAGATCATTATTATTTCATCATTCTTCAAAATTTTTGTGGGAAGGGTAGTTTGATAGGTACTTTCGAAAAATATCAATGGCAAGAAGTCGTTAATAGTTGAACGGAACCCTGAAGATTTTTCTCCCTTGTTCTACACTGTTTTACAAAGTAATTTACCACTGGTAAGTACAATTTGGGTTTGTACACAGAGACAGGGTGATCTATAAAATACAAAATATACCCAAATTACCACATTAATATAGATATAAGCCTTGATATGAATTTTGGCCACTCAGTTTCTAGAGTTTCTACTATAGACATAAAGTAAGGAGGGCAACTTAATTGCCCAAATAAATATTCTTATTTATTTCCAGTAGGTATATTTTGTATTTGATTTTTCAATCCAAGTCTCAAAAACTTCACTTTGAGCTGATCTATATTTCACTTGATGTTTTACATACTTGTTTTCTTATGATGGCAATAGGTATAGTCTCGGGTATAGTGAATTAAATAATAAATCAAAATAGATAATTTCAAACTTGGTATCTTCTTTCCTTGTAGTTTGATCATTGGCCTCATGTAGTCCTAATCATGACACATTTGAACAAGTGGTTAATATCAAATGTAGCCTCCTGGTGCCTTGATGTGACATTGAATCTCCCATTGAATTAATAAGACATCAAATTTTTTTTGAAGTGTATTGGACAGTTCAAGATGGCTGTTTTGCAATGCAGCTGGCCAAATCAATTTCATCAGAACAAGTGACTTTCAATATGGCCTCTTGTAGACACCAGTTTTGTTTGTACATTTACAAAGCTGGTATAAATGAGATGATTCATCCCTATAGGTATAACGAAATCACTATATCTACTTTCATTTAGGAGCTAGACCAGTTAATTACACTTCAATAAACAACAGAACCACTTTGATATTTCATTTTTGCAATAGTGCTATAATTTGTTACTAATACTTACCATATGCCCGAATTTATTACCCCTCTCTAACAGAAAAAAAACAATGGCTCTGCTAACTTTATGTCAACCTAGCAGAACCATAGCTAAAAATGTATTTTTTGATAACTTCAATTATACCATAATTTATTACTACTTCATTACTAACTCATAACTATAATCATGAATTTTTCATCATTCACTGGAGAAAAGCCAGGTCAACCTAGCAGAACCATAGCATTGAATTTAGTTTTTCGAAAACTTGGAATACCTATACCATAATTTCCACTCAAATATTTTATTACCAATTTAATACCACAATAACCATATGCCACTTTCCATTTCTAGAAGAAAATTGTCTATTTCTTCCTTGACCTAGGTAGCAGAACCGAAACTCCAATGACAGGTTCATGGAAATTCCATTCAATTCATGATGTATTACTAGTTTATTACATTTTATCACAATAATGATTCTGCCACTTTCCATTTGGAGAAGGAAATCGCCGGTTCTTCTATTTTTATCTCAACATAGCAGAACCTATAGGTACTTGAATGACATGTTTTTACAATGGCGTTTATATAGGGGTAATAGGGGTAATTACCCCCCCCTCCTCCCCGATAAGAATAATTTGTAAGATAGGTAATAGATATAGACGTTTATGTCTGTTTTGATTTGTGATTTGTATGTCCAAAGAAGTCTAGTTTTGTTTCCCATTTTTATATATTATCATCTATTATTTATAGCTCTCTATAGTATGATTATCTGAATCAAAAAACCATTAGTCCCCCCCCCCCAAGAAAAAACATTATCAATGCCCCTGCATGTTTTTGGAAATTTGGAACTTCCTATACCACCCACCATATATCGATTCCTCACCTCATTTTAAGTTGAAAAGTTCCTACCAACATATTATGTCCTTAAATGCATTCTCTCTGAGATCCAGATAGACAAATCAGCTTTTTTTTTTCATCCAATGATGAGTAAAAAATTCATGTTCATATTTATAAGTCAGTAATGATATAGTAATAATTATTCTTTGGAAGAAGTCCATGGTAACTCAAAGTGGAGTGGTGTAGTTCATGGAGATGACTTTGGGTTTTCATCTATGGAGTAATAATTATGTTATCTTTGAAGTTAAAAAAAAATCTGCTGGCATAAAGCTAGCAAAGCCATTGTTGGAAGGGTTATATATTTACATACATACATACATACATTATTGATTCATTGAGACTCATATAGAATTTCAAAAAACATGTGATTTGAATTTTGGTTCTTTTAGGTTGAGATCATGATAGACAAATCGGCAATTTTTTTTCCATCGAATGATGGAATTCCTGGTTATAGTTATAAGTTAGTAATAAAATAGTAATAAATTATGGTATATCTGAGGTTTGGAAAAATATATTTTTAGCTATGGTTCTACTAGGTTGACATGAATCTAGCAGAGCCATTGGTTTTTTCTGTTAAATGGAGGGTAAGAAATTCACCAATATGGTTATAAATTAGTACTAAATTAGTAACAAATTATAGCTCCATTGCAAATATGAAATACTGAAGTATCTCTGCGATTTCTGCTAGGTTTATTGAGGTGTTTATTACCCATGAATACCTTCAGCTAGTTGTTTGACAGCATCTTGGATGAGATAATTTGAATGATGAACGACTACTTATCATTGTTCACATCTGAGAACCAACTTCAGTGGTGGCAAGTAGTTTTTCAATCTCATAAAACCATGTGACTTCCATTTCTGTCGATTTCTATTGATAAATTAACTTGAATTCAATTTTAGAGGAAGTCGCACTAGGCACTATTATAATGTATTCTCCAAAGTTGTAGGTATGTGGAGCATTTTATTTCAAAATGTAACTACACCCTCAATCACAAACTAGGTGTTCCAATGCTTCTTTCTCATAATATGATGAACCTACTGTTAGTGAACAAAGCCCATCCACTTTATTAGGAAAACAATAATTCTTCAGAAGAATTCATATGAGAAACTTCAAGACCAATCAGAATTATTCTTGCCATGGCGGTAAATTCGAAATGAGGACCTTTGTTTTGAGCTGCCAGCAAAATGAGCTATTATTTCTGCATTCTGCTCTCGATTCTGCTACATTGAAAAGCAATTATTTTGGAAGTGATCCCAGAAGGAGACCTCCAGGAAAAATCGTCATTGCAATAGCAACCCCAATAGCAATCACTCTCCGCCTACACAGTATTCACCTTTAGTATTTTGTTCTTGAGAAAAACCGAGGCACGCTTAAATACTGTCTGTTGGTTAATCCAGGAGGTGGTACATTCATTTTACTTGATTTTTTGGGATTTTCTCACCTCGTTTCTATGAAATAAAAATATGCGTATTATTTCAATATATTTTTAGTGAGACAAATCAGATGATTTGCCCCAAAATGTCACTGTGTTTAACAAATTTTTCTATTAGGGAGCCTGAAAGAAAATTCAGTATGGGAGCAGATTCGTTCCCGAAACATCCAAAGATAAGTAAATATTCGATATTTTTTCAATATATTATGTATCTAATTTTTTCCTTCAAACATTTTTTCAAACAAAGTGTCACTGACAAGCTACTGGATTTTTCTTTCAGGCTCCCTGATAGAAAGATGTGTTAAACACAGTGACATTTTGGGGCAAATCATCTGACTCACTACAAATAGTAATTCAATGCTCGTCGTGGCATATAGCCAGGAAAGTAGTTGTTTTCTGATGAATAAACCGAGAAAGAATTAATATTTTGATCTCATGGAGAATGCGAATTCTCAATGTATTTCTTTATATATATATCCATTTTTTTGTGTTCATAGATATATCTGAGAATATTCCATTTCAATACTTTCACCCAATCAAGGGGTTCAAACTTGAACGATGGAAACTTGTTATTTTTATAGACCTCAATCGCAGATTCGTTATTAGGTTTGCTCAATTCAGAATTTTTTTTCACGTCCTGTATGATGAATATCAATTTATAAAATTAAAAAAAATGCACGAAACGAAATCCCTATAATGTTCAGTAAATTACAGGCTGTTTTCAGTTTATAAGCCTAAAAGTATTGTTTAGCCTCATCTTTCTTCAACATTTCTTTTTCAGATTCACCTTTATCTTTCCTATTACTCGAGAAACACCATTTTATAGCATAACATGAATTTCTGGAAAATCAAGATCCAACTTTAACAACAAAAAAACGAAACATGATGCGAAGTCAGAAGTTGAACGAAAGGGTCAGTAGCGAGTATTTCCGCCTCTAGCACGAATAACTTCTTGGCCTGGCAAAGATGGTTCGTACTTAAAATGAGAGACCTCATGTCATTTTGTTCCAGGTCTTCCCAAATTTGAATCAGTCTCTGCCGAACGAGCTGCCGAACGTACCTACTGTCTTTCTCTAGATTCACAACTAGGGCGACGTGAGGCCTGGCATTATTTTGCATCAACAAAAATCCTTACACTATGTATATGGTTCTGAAATCTCCAATATACCTTTCAGCAGTAGGGCTTCCATTTATGATCACAAGTGATTGCAATCAGTCAAAGAAATGCCTCTGCAGTCCATAGCCTGCTACTTACGTGCTCAAAATGCTAATTAAATTCAATAAAATTGTGTTGCTGGAGTGGGATAGGAAAGGTAATGGAGTGAGTCCAAAGAAGGAATGTTGGAAAAACATAAGGTTGAAGTGTAATTTCAATTCTAACTTTATGATGTATCTGTTACATTCAACAGGGTATTTCAAATTTCATGAAAAATACACGCATAATTGCTACACCCGGTATTCATAAAAGAGATGTTTTTATGCGATTACAGTTTGCACGCCAATATTCAGAAGGAGATAATTAAATTATCAATCAGAACAAAAAAGGGCCGAATCGAACTAGGAAGTGTATTTTGGGCTACCTACCTATCTCTGTTTCGCAAAATTAGCTTGAGAAAAGAAAAAACTTTCAAACGACCGTAAAAATTTCCTATCGATTCACAAAACGCTCTATAACATGGAATTATTCTTCCACAGGTCCCTTATCAAACATCTAACAATGTCTTCCCAGTCAGATATCCTTTCACCGGATGATCAACAGTATCTTTTCAGCGAGATAGACATGTAAGTACTTTTTTCTAGGACCAATTCTGTAAACTGACAATTAAGTAAATTCATCCCCCCAATTGTATAGTAAATCCAGAAAGTACTTCTCAAACTTTATTCTTTAGGTTTTTTCGAGATTTTTTCTCGTTTCTAAAAATATGAGTAATATTTCCATATATGTGTAGTAAGAATAAATCAGATAATTTGCCTCAAACATAACATTTCAGAATTTAACTATCAGAATACCTAATCAATCGAACCTCTGTGTTTGTACAAGTATCTTAGCATTAAGGATTAAAATCAATATTATATTACGGATGTTCGAAAATGTTCCATCATAATCCACTGGAATAGGTATCAATAACATCTAAAGTAAATTAAATGAGGACCAGCTGAATTATCCAGTATATTAACAACTTATGTCACACAGTCTACCTTTTTGTAATTGACATGTTTGATATTTTGCCAATTTTCAGTTCCTAACATCAAGCAACTGACAAAAAAATGGCAAATCAGAAACTATTGTTAATTTTCATCAAAATCCAAGTAATAGTCTATGAATCTGTTACAAGGGTTTCTTGAGGATTCTAGCTGATTCCAGGTAATTGAATTGGTCTGGAATATGGGTGTAAACTACTCTCCAATTGAAACTTTACGCCTCCAATTGTCGGTTAGGTCTATTCCCGATATCGTTTTTCTTGAATAGAAACTGGACATTTATGAGTATATTTTCTGGGTATCACCCAAGCTTGTCAGTTGAGGCGCATGCTGTTCGATATCAAAGAACCTCTCCCAAATATCAAGACTCTTGCAATAAGCAAATTTTGAAAATGCTCGAAAATGGTCTGGTCGGCCCGAAGACTGAACGCTTTGAGCTGAGAAGATGACTTTTGTGAGTTCTGTGTGTGATTTTTTTACCCAACTAACCAAAGATCATGGAAACGAGCAATATGTTCATTGGAATTCTCGTTCGTCCAAAAAGGACATGGTCCTGAGTCCTAGGACGTAGCTCTCCCATGGCTGTCATCAAGTCATCATGTCTGTATGAATCTGAACGCTCCCCTAGGTCACCTGCGGTCGACCTTTGTGTCCCTCGGGGGGTTTAGCATGTGTATCGTATGCATATACGTATTAATAAACAATACGGATCATAAAGGGTGCCAGGATGAAGCCAAAAATATGAAACAAATGAATATCACTTATAAAAACTTTTCCTTATGGATAGTCATTTGTCTTCAAAAATCGGCTTCATGTTTCGCTATGGAAACAGATAGAGATTATCCGTATTGATTATTAATACGTATATGATCGTATGTTATATATATGAAAACGGATGCCGTAATGACATTTTTTCATTGAGCAAACCCAACTTATTTTGCAGTGTTCTACCTATCCTAGCAAGGGATCAGTTTTTTTAAACACCCTGTATTATACAGAGAAGTGCACATAAAACGGCCAGTGCTGTATCTTCTGAATCATTCGAGATCAGATTTCGAAATTTGGTGGGTAGTATATATACCAAATTGCTCATTTATTGCCAAAACAATTTTTGTTCTTTCGTTTTCACCGGAAACGACCCCAACTTTTGATTTATAAATGGGACACCCTGTATTTTATTTCATAGTTCATAGCCGGCTAGGGATAAACAATGATAATTCAACGATATTGGGATTGATATGGTTATTTCAAACGATAACGAAGATATTCGCGTTCTAAGTTTCCATAACCTCAATCGGTGTGACTTCCCAATATCGAAACTTCTTTCTCTGTCAAACTTGAAACGCGAATATATTCGTAATCGCTTGAAATATCCCTATCAAACCCGATATCGTTGAATTCGTTATGATAATTCGTAACCGGTTATGGAATAGAATACAGGGTGTCCCATTTGAAAATCAAAAGTTGGGGTCGTTTCTGGTGAAACCGGAAGTGATAGAACAAAAAATAGTTTTATTAATTTGTGAGTAATCTGATACACTTTTTTTTTTTCATTTCTTTTTCATCGCTTGGAGCGCACGAAAGGAAATCCCTATAATGTTCAAAGAACATCGTGCGTTCCTAGGGAGGATAGGGACAGGAGGTAGGTATTGGAATTTTCCTTGAACTTCTGGAGATTATATGTTGTTGGGAATACTTCCACAGGCAATGAATTCCAGAGCCTAGCCGTTCTATGGATGAAGGAGTTATGATAAAGTGCTGTTCGACATCTTTCGAGGTTGACAACGAAAGGATGTGCTGACTGGGCTTATCTAGTTGGTCTGACTGATATTGCTAGTGAAGGGATGATGGCAGAGATTTCCGAAGAACATTTCCCGTGGAAGTATCGATAGAAAAGTGAAAGGTCGCCGACCTTTCTACGGTGTTCTAATGATGTCAAAGAGTGAGTGAGTGTGGCGTCACCCACCAGGCGAATGGCTCTCCTCTGGATGGAATCTAAGAGCATCAGCGTATGTTTTGGTGCTGAACCCCATATGTGGGAACAGTATTCTAGAACAGGCCGTATCTGCGCTTTGTAGGTCATGAGAAGCTGTTGAGGGGTAAAGTTGCTTTTCGCAGGGAACAAGAATCCGAGTTTTTGTGAAGCAGCGTTTGCGTTGGATCTGACATGATTATTCCATGAAAGAGTATTGCTGATAGAAATACCGAGCATAGATATGGTGGGCTTGGTGGGGATGGTGGTGCCAGACATAACAATATCGGGCATACTGAGTTCCGCCTTTCTAGAGAAGATACAGGCTTGAGTTTTGGTGGCGTTGAATTCAACTAGGTTGTTGGTTCCCTAGGCTGTGATTTCAGCAAGGTCTTCATTGACAGCATTGACCTGCCTGCGCCGTGAGTTCTTAGTTTCCTGGGAAGAAATGGGAATTCTGGAAGAGAACGCAGTATGGAGGGTACTATCATCTGCAAAGCTATGGATGGGGCAAGTTGTTACTCCCAACAGATCATTGATATGAAGAAGGAATAATGTTGATGCCAAAATTGATCCTTGTGGAACGCCGGAATTGATGCCAATGGTATCAGACGATAGTTGCTACCCACCGCTTTTCAAAATCCGATCTCGAATGATTCAGAAGTTACAGCACTGGCTGTTTTTGTGCACTTCTCTGTATGTTTACACCTTTACGTGTTTTCCAAGGTTGTCATTCATATACTAGTGGTTGAAACAACAGTAAGTAAAAAAAGATATCAGAAGTTCAGCAACAGTTCTTTATTTTATGTACATTTAAAATTTCCCGACATTTATTGGTGAAAAGTTTCAATTGGAGAGTAATTCATTAACGAATCATATCACTTAATTCAATAACCGAAGACATTTCAAATGATTTTTCGCTAATTTCGGGATCCGTGCACAGTTTTGTCTTGAATAAATCGTACTAACTATTATTATCTTATTGTTATGTTTTGAATTGTGTATTGTATGTTCTGTTCTTGTGAAATTAGTTAGAATGTTGCGTGTGAATATCAAATAAGAATTAAAGAAAATGATAATAATTTTATAATATAAAATTTTTTTTTAGGGTTCATGTGGCTGACATAGACCTGTTCCCTGAAGAGCCAACTTTGGATGTAAGTGAGAATCTTCCCAATACGTCTTCTTTGATGAAAAATGATGAAGCTATGGTTATGGCTCCATCATTCAGATATCAAACATGAATAATCCAATCACTGGACAAGTGTTTGACAAACGTCACATTATGGAGTGAAAAAAATCTATTCTGGAGAAACTTGCTGTTTCATGAAGATAGGGCCAAAACTAAATCCTATGAGTTTATTTAAAAGAAAACAAATTCAACATATGCATAATAGACTGATTAACAAAATGAATTACGTGGTCCAAAATATGTGCTGATTTCAAAATCAAATTACTCATAGATCTGATTTCTATTCGGTTTTCACAGTTGGCAAGCCCAATCTTTCAGTTACTCGTCAGAGCAATATGAAACTACAGATATTCCATATACAGGATGATTATTGAATTGATGTAAAATTGCAGCTGTGTAGTTACGTTCCTTTCTGAGCAAATACTTTTCATAATTTTTATCTCGACCACAATCATGAAGCTTGATGAAGCAATTTAAAATTATTTTCAATCAGACCCTTTATGCCCGAGAAATAATATATCTTTTTCTTCAAAATCATGAATTTCATCAACGAATTATTGAATAACATTGAATGTTAATTTTGAATAATTCACATTGTGTGGATAGTTCTGGATAATGTGAGAGTGTCTGGATACAGAAATTCAAAATGGTGCACATACAGGATGATACAAAAATTATTGTGAGATTTGATGAAGGAAAACATATCAGGTGGAACATGGTTTTCTCAATTCCATAGATGAAATTATGGAGTTTCATACCATAAACATAAAGTTTGTTGTCTGGTCTCGAAATGGTTTTGAAATTTTTCAAATCTGAATCCGCATTATGGAGATGGGTACCTATAATGGCATAGTGATAGTCTCGGTTGGGTTCAGTTGGTTGGATGGTATCATGCCTCAAAACGTTACCATATATCACAGAGACAATAAAGAATAAATAGCCGGAATATAATTTTTTAGTTCAGTATAATTTTACTTAGCACTCTCATATAATGTTCATAAAAGGTGAGAACAAATCATTAGATTCATATTCACAATAATTCATTTAAAAAAACTGTAAAACATGGTATTTTATTTTGAGAAATATAATTTGCGGCATTTTAGCAGGATTGGAGAATTATGTAGAAGTACATACGTTTCTGGTGAAGTTGTATAAGAGGCGATTTAAAAAATATTGCAATCAAATCATATTTTACATTACTTGTATCAACATGTCTCACATCTATTGAACAATATCATCAGAAATTCATTATTTCATTAGTGGATATATTCGTCTCATAGTGCAATGTTTTTTATATCGCCTCGTATGCAACTTTCACCAGAAAAGTATGTACTGATATAAAATTCTCGATATTTCACGAAAAAATATCATTTTTTACATTTTTAAAAATTGATTATTGTGAAAATTAATATATTGATATTTTTATCACCATCTTTGATTCTGTGAATTATGGTTACATTTCGAGGCATGATACTACTCCTATCTTCATGAAACAGCAAGGTTTTCAGGATAGATTTTTTTCACTCCATAATGTGAAGCTGGTCAGCTTAGAAGAAAATCATAGTTTGTTGATGAATATGAAATTTAGGAAATATGAGCAGAACACGTAATCCGAGATTTAATCATTTGGGATCATTAGAAATCAACAAACGCAAACATTTATCCATTTAACAAAACAAATGCGTCTGCCATACTTCCGAAATTTTCTCAGCAAAAACATATCAAATTCAGGAAACATTTTAAGTGGTTGGTAACACTGAACAACATTGATAAGGAATTATTTTATTTGAGATATGCCGTTCATACAGTAGTTACTTCAACTCAAAATTGTTGGCACATTGAAAATGTTAATTTCCTTTATAAAAAATTGCAGATTGAAACTGAAGTTGCATCCCTTCTGAAATGAAATATTTTGCCAATATTTACCAAAATTCAGACAATATTCTTCAAGCTATCTCGAAAATATATCGCAAGACTATGAACCCAATTGATAACCAGATTATAGTAGGTGCCAACGAATCTATTAGAAAAGCCATTACTTCTAGAATATTGGGTGTATCAGAATGAAAAATATGGTTGTATGATATGTGGAGAAGAAAGTTTTCGCATATTTACGATTGGATTGAAAATAAGAACAATAATTTGATATTGTCAAGGAAAATACCGGATATATTTCGCAGTTATTTTTTTCGTGGAAAACAAATCACTCAGGTAATGACGTGACATAAGCCTTATGAGCAGCAAAATAATGTAAAATCAAACTGGAAAGTGAATACCTGAGTGTTTTGTTTTCCAAAGCAGACTCGGAAAAATAATTGCAAAATATTATGCATCATGGCTATCCAAGGCACACTTGACAAATGTGAAAAAATAACTAAATAATAAATGTATGTTTTTATATTAATCCTATCGTGAATAAATTAGTATCGTTAGATACGTCAAAAAATCCTTTTTTCGGAAAGCGCTTGTCAAAAAATGGTTGTTATTTGAAAAATAACAGTTAGACACGGTCAACTGGTCTTCCTATATATTATATTAGTCACTAAAACTTTGTGATTATAATTTTCTGACAACACCTGAGGTCCATAGATACGTTTACGTCCGATCATGGCCACCTAGATGCAATATTAAAAGTGACTAAAAAAATTAAGTAGGCGTGAAAATTCCTGAAAATGTCATATTCTGATCCAAAATTGTCTCAGAAAATGAAAAATGTTATAATATACAGGGTGTTCCGTTAAAAAATTCAAAACCGGAAATGACCGGAAAGTGAAAATTATGCAAACATTTTCTTCTTCACATACCACATACCTATATTGAATATAATTTTGATACAACGAATATTTCAGAAGTTATGGCTTGTCTGATAGATTCGTTGACACTCGGTAGATGTACTGAGCATGATTTTTTTGTCAGCCGCAGCCCCCAACTGACGAGCAAATTGAACTCTAAAAATGTGCAAGCTACCTATCAGTAATGTGAATACTAGGGTGTATAACAGTCATTGTTCTATTTTCAAATCACCAATAATAATTGTATGTAACGTTAAAAATACAAATATACACTATCTGTCAAAACATTATTCTGCAATTTTATCTTTTTTTGTGGGTGTATAACTGAGGTTATCCTTTATATTTCTTCGCGGTCGCCAAGGTCATTAGATGACCTTGCGATGACATTGAAAACTATGGGAAAACATGTCTAACTTTCAATCTATGCCAGAAGTTAGGATGTTTTCCCGTAGTTTTGAATGTCATCGGAACGTCATGTAATGACTTTCTGGACCTACTTTTCTGCACACCTTGTAAATTATTCAGTTGTGATTATGGTGAGTGATTCATTAATCTTCAACAAAATTGTAATTGTTATCGTTCATGTTCGATAGGATGCATTTGTCGCTTTTTTAGAAAAACTGGGTTAACTCGAAAACGTTTAATGGGGAAGTCCACTGAGGAATGAAATCCATGCAAACCTCTTTCAATCGACGAATCATGATTTACGTTTGATGTACAATCAATATTATGAGTTGAAGTTGAATGGAATCGAATCTATATCGTTTTGAAATCAGCATATTTCAAACAGCCAAATAGGATGGTGGAGCCGTGACGTATTAGTCCCGAACTGTAGCTATCTCTCTCTGATACCTCGTCATTCTGCAGTGTTGCAGTGTGATTGGTCAGTTCATGGACAATAGGCGTGTTGGGACTAGGACGTCGCACCGGTCACACCAATGAATTGACAAAATTTCAAATGGCGCAGGAATTGTGTGTTTTGAAATGGACATATTCTAATTTATTTTTTTCATCGTTTCAGCATGAATGACAAAATTCAAAATTAATTCGCTGGTAGTTTTTCAGTATAGAGTTCACGATAATGTCGTTTTAAAAAATCAGTGGTCTCCCCCATTTCTGCTATTGGGTAACATACATGGATTCGAATCAGAATGATAAGGGGAAAATATTTTAGGTGGATTCCCAATGTTTCCTTTACCGTCTCTACACATTCTCAGTATCATGCTACTTTTAGTTTTATATATATAGATCTGTTTAACTCATGGAGATTCACCCTGTATACTATCGAGATTATAGATATTGTGGGGACATTTCAAAATGAAAAGTGAATCTAATGCCCCCAAAGTTTCATCTTTCGGAACATCCTATTGTAATTCACTAATGGTATGATTCATTTTCATTTCCAATGAAGAACATGCCCTGCCTGACATTTGATTTATGATTTGATGTTACCAACCTTGGAAAAATAATAATTTTGTGCAAAAAGCTGTTTTGAGACGCATTTATGTTACATAATGATTTTATTAAAGCGACAAAATGTATATCAAATTATTCTCATCTGAACCTTTACTTATGAGTTATTTGTCAAATATTGATGTTATCTGCAGGGTGTACCTGAAAGGTCTTTACAAAAACCGACCACATATTCCTCAGACTGAAACAATTCGATAAAAGCAAATTTCCCTAAGCACAAAGTTGATCAGTTTGGGCGCTAGACGGCTCTGAATTTTCAAATCGTTTTTGCTTTATAACTTCGAAACAACTCACGAGGTTTAATAAAATCCAGTATGTTGGGATAATGAAACTCATATCATGATAATCATGATGAATATCATTTCATGGACGTAGAACTTGATTTTTTCAGTAATTGAACATTTGACACTTCTACGCCAATGGAAACAAAGTTTGAATATGAAGTTTGGAGTGCGCAACTCTTGATGGAATGTCACTCAGGGTTTCAACAAAATTTGATTTGTTGTTATCTAAAGCATACGTAGCGTTGGGTACCTTTTTCCGAAGACTATCATTAGTATTTGCCCATACATAGCGTTAGTTTTCGTATTTTATTGAGTTTCACAGTGCTAAGTTATTATTTAATAATCAAACAACTCGGACTAGCCTACTACCTGGGTCTTTGATTGAAAAGAGACAAGTAAGTGGTCTATGGTCAGTGATGAGTTTGAATTTTCTACCGAAAAGATACGGGCGAAAATGTTTCACTGCCCATACAATAGCGAGTAACTCTCATTCGATAGTGGAGTATTTAGTTTCAGCATTGCACAGCGTACGAGATGAGTAGGCGATTAGAAGGTCTTTACCTACGGGTCCTTGTGATAATATAGCGCCAATTGCAAACATGATAGCATCAGTACATCAAGTATATACAGGGTGATCCACGGTGGATGGCCTATTAGAAGTATCTGGAGAACGAAAAGACAGAACATTCTGAAAATTGGGATGCTTCGATAATTGAACATTCTCTATCAGTCTAAAATATTTTCATCGATACACTGTTGCCACTTTTATCAAAAACAACTGGCAACTTTGTTATTTCAAATGGAACACCCTGTATTTTATTGCATCTTTAGATTCTTCCTGAAGAGCTGATTGCATCAATGCATCACACTTGGGGTCTAGCAGGAATGATTACAGAGATATAGGGTGTTCAAAATCGAGATTTTTCAGTTTTAGGATTTTTTTGTGTCGAAACTATTCATTATCGATCAAAATGGCTTACATGTCCCTATCTTCACTTTTGATTCACTATCTACTGGAATTTAATTGGAAAAAATACTGGGTGCTTCAAGATTTTGAATTCTGATCACCCTGTATCTGTTCCAAATAAATGTCAGTAGATAGTAAATCGAAAGTTGAGATAGGGACATGTAAGCCGTTTTGATCGATAATGAATAGTTCCGACACAAAAAAATCCTAAAATTGAAAAATCTCGATTTTGAACACCTATATATCTGTAATCATTCCTGCTAGACCCCAAGTGAGTAATTACATGTCCGAGATATGCGATTTGTTTTTTTAAAAATTCGCATTTGTCTGTCTGAATTTTGAGATTAGCTTTCCTAAGTCTTTTGAACACTTCTGTCAGTCTCGAAATATGTTCATGTATTGTAGGTGAGTATATTATGATGTCGTCCATGTAGACTAAGCATTGTTCGTTTTGTATGCCCAAATGAATAGTGTCCATCACACGCAAAATTGATTTTTTTTTTGTTATATTGATTTTAACGTGAATATCCCTGAACCGATTTCAATTGAATTCCAGGAGTTTGTAGGTAACCACTGGAAGCACTCAAATGTGCAACAACCTCTATGGCATGCAAAAAAATATATAATTATGACGTCACACTTTTTTGGGACACCCTGTAATATCGATTTTTTTTTCCTGGTATGCGCCCTATGATACAATTGAAGTCTGCAAGATATCAAAGTCCTGACTCAACTGATGAATGAGCTAAAGAAGACGGGAGGTGAGATGCAGGGGCCTGCGTGTCCTGACAGGCCAGCAGTGTTGCCGTTTCAGCATTTCAATTTGTACTACAAATCATTCCGAAATTGTACTAAATTCAAGTTTATCGTACTAAATTGAGAAAATAACACTCCAAAATTTACGATCCACACATTTGATGAAAAACTGCATCTTCATTTATGAAAATTCAAAATAATAATATACAGCACATCAAAACACCTCTGAAAAACATAGGTCGTGAAACAATTATAACTAATAAAAGCCGAAAATGAGAGATGAAAAGGAACTGATCAGATTACAGATTGAGATCGAATACTATCATACTATCAATAAGATAAAATAGAAGACTCAAACTTCAAAGTCGAATCAATTCAGCAATAACATAACAGCTCATTGTTTCTCCGTTGAATTGGAAATTATGGACTTTTTATCAATGAGGGCTTCATTAGGATTCCAATTATAACATCTTCTCCAAATCATTGTTTTGTATACAATAATAGCTTGGGCTATCCCGGTTCTTATTTTTGTACTAGATTAGTGTTAATTGTATTGACGGGCTAAATGTGTATGAAATGTACTAGAAAAGTACAAGAGTACTAAAAACGGCTACTCTGCAGGCCAGTGATTTTCATCCGCACCAATTTGTAACACGCTGCAAGCGCCACCCCAAATCGTCCCGTTTCATTGCCGAACCCTTTATTTACTTATTATCTAAATCAGTTGAATTCAAATTATATCAAGAGTGCCTTTTTGAAGTAAATGAGTTGCGCAATCCAAATTTCATACTTATCTTCATGTTTTCCATTGTCGTAGAAGTTCCAGATGTGTATTTACTGAAAAAATCAAGTTGTACGCCTATGGAATGATATTAGATCTTTATTATAATATGGATCTTATTACCCCGTAAAAGTATCCCAACATATCAAATTCCGGTAAAATCACAAAAATCTCGTGAGAGTCGTGAGCCGTTCCAAAGTTATAAAGCAAACTAAGCACCTTTTTACTGAGGTAAGTTTGCTTGTATCGAATTGTTTTGGTCTGAGGAGTATGTGATAGGTATTTGGAAATACCTTTTAGGGACACCCTGTTTATTTTCAGGTAGCAGATGATTTCCTTACTGATGTCAAGATTAACCATCCACAACCATTACCACCTGCAGCTGTGGTTCTTCCAAATGAAGAAGAGTGTGGGCCATATGGTTTTGAAGTTGATATTATTCCAAATAAAGGCTCGAAGAATGCTTGGGTCGTAAGTATTCCTGAGTTGAATTGTATTATTCTCTCGTATTTTCGACATCCTGAAACTAAAAACGCTAAAAAATTGATTAAATATTTAGTAATTCTAACTCTGTTCCTATATCGTACAGGTTTTTCGTGGAAACTATGTTATATCTCAATCGGACCTAGAACTAGATCATTAAAGCAGCATTAGGAAAGCTTCTCCAGATTATGACTAGTGCTCTATTTGTTGGATTATTTTGCTATTCCTAGTAGTCTAGCTACAAGAAAGTTGACTGTTAATGGCAATCAATCCATTGTTCAGTTGTCAGTCAAAATTGCTCTGTAGGATGCTACTGAAAAGATGAGAAGAGGGTACCTACTCAAGGGAGGCGCAGTAGAAGCCTGGCCGATACACTGGTCTCTAGGCGGTAGCCGTCCGGCCTATTTGGCCCTTACTAGCAGTAATGAAGATGATCGAAAACCCCTAATTTCGAGTGACAACGAAAAATGAAAATGAAAAAAAAGTACCATCCTGCCAGCGATATTTCATATAGTGCATGATGAGTGACTTCGGGAATTGGAAGGATTCTGCCGCCTGGTGTGTGATGAGAACTAGACCTTCCTGCCAATTGATCGACGGCTGTCCCGTTAGCTCAATTGACAGAGCGTTGGACATATAACCCAGAGGTTGTGAGTTCGACTCTCACGCGGGGTGATGGAGTTCTTTTATTTTTCGTCGTCACTCGAAATTTTGGCTTTCCATCATCTTCATTATTATATGTATCTTTTCGGTCGAGTAACCGACAAAAATTACCACTCACTCCTTACCGGCAGCTCTATCAAGAGTAGCATGCTATGAGGGTGTCGGTTTTATAGGGGTATGTCCCACAGATGTGCTAGTTATCCTAGGAACCGAGAGAGCTAGACTAATGAATGGGTACCGAATAAAAACGTAACCCAAAATTATAATGTTTGTTGATACTTTGAACCTGGTAAAGTTCCCATATGCCCATATACAACAAGTTATGGTGAATTATATTGTTTCGGACTGCGAAATAGCGCAGTGGTTGAGGCGCCCGACTAGTAATCAGAACATCGAAAAGTTGCTAGGTTCGAATCCCCGACAGAGCAGAGAACATTCATTCATAAAACGAGTTCAAAATTCAACTTTTCGTATCCTCGGCCGGTGATGATTCCATACGATTCGCTGTTGCGTTCCAATTAACAGTGCTGCTTCCAAGGTGGCGTGTGGAGTTAGTAACAAAGCCTACACAAAACACACATGAGCTGAAGGACCTCTCGTAGGGTCGATGGCCAGTTGGTATGTACATACATACCAACGAAGTACAGGGTATCCCACATAACTTGGGTCACCCCCTTATCTGGTAAACTATTATATATACAGAAAAAAGTTCAGAATAAAAATTGTATAACTCCTCATGACATTTAATTTTTAGATACTGTCATTTATACAGGATGATCCATATGTCTGTGACATATCACAAATACGTTTTTTCAAATGGAACACCCTATATTTTATCATATTTTTAGATAGTACTTCAGAAGACGAGTTCAATGATACATAATAACATGGGTCTGAGATCACCCGTTTCGGATTTATACATTATCTTCTTCAATAAATTGTCTAATTTCAAAGCCCTATACAAACGTTGTGAATGAAGTTTTCGATTCGCAACTTTTGCTATACATTAACAAAGTCTGTATATCATTTTGTTCTATGGTGAAAATTTAGGAATTTTGAATTTGCCAAAAGTGATGACGTATTTTGAAAACCAATAATTATCTCTAGATTTTCAAATGGAACACCCTATATTTTGTTCCATATTTGCATAGAACTCAGAAAGACGAGTTCAATGATCTATAATAACATGGGTCTGAGATCACCCGTTTCGGACTTATACACGATCTTCTTCAAAGAATAGTCAAACAAAAAAAGTAACAGTAACTGAGAAAACGAGTAAACATAACAACAGTAACAATCAGATATAGTATTCAATTGAATATACAAAGTAGTATGAAAGATATACGATTTTTATGAAGAAATGACATTTATTGCAATGAATGCATCCGAATTGATAAGGCAGACAATCAAAAAAAATGTTCAAATACATTTTATCAATTGAATATTCCCGCATTGGTCTCGTATAGAGTCAAATGTAGGTGAAATTTAATTGTGATAACCTGTGCTCAATCATTTCCAAAAGGTTTTCCAGTGAAATAATAGTATAACATTACATAAAAATTTCGATAATATTCGTTGTTTTCAAAACTCTTTATTACGAATTGTTTCACAGAAATTACAAAATTTTTATCTAATATGAAGATAACAGTCAGGATTTTGCCATTGATTATTTGATTATTTTTTCAAGAAGATCGTGTATAAGTCCGAAACGGGTGATCTCAGACCCATATTATAATATATCATTGAACTCGTCATTCTGAGCTTCATCCAAAGATGGAATGAAATAGGGTGGTGTTCCATTCGAAAATTTGTAAAAAATTATCGTTTTTCAAAATACATCATCACTTTTGGCCAATGCGAAATTCATAAACTTTTACCATGGATCAAGAAAACATACAAAATTTATTAATTTATAGCGGGAACTGCGAATCGAAAACTTCATTCACAACGTTTCTATAGGGCTTTGAAATTGGGCAATTTACTGAAGAAGCTCGTGTATAAGTCCGAAACGGGTGATATCAGACACATGTTATGATATATCATTGAACTCGTCTTCCTGAGCTCTATGCAAATTTGGAATGGAATATAGGGTGTTCCATTTGAAAATCTCTAGATATTTATTGGTTTTCGAAATACGTCATCACTTTTGACAAATTGAAAATTCCTAAATTTTCATCATAGAACAGAATAATATACAGACTTTGTTAATTTATGGCGGAAACTGCGAATCGAAAACTTCATTCGCAACGTTTCTATAGGGCTTCGAAATTTGACAATTTATTGAAGGAGATCGTGTATAAATCCGAAACGGGTGATCTCAGACCCATGTTATTATATATCATTGAACTCGTCTTCTGAAGTACTATCTAAAAATATGATAAAATATAGGGTATTCAATTTGAAAAAACGTATGTGTGATAAGTCACAGACATATGGACCATCCTGTATAAATGAAAGTAACTAAAAAATAAATTTCATAAGAAGTAATACAACTTTTATTCTGAACTTTTTTCTGTATATATAATAGTTTACAAGATAAGGGGGTGGCCCATGTTATGTGGGATACCCTGTACATATACTACTACTATATTGTTCGAAGGACTCTCTTGGTGGCCATGAAATGGAAATTGCGACTACTTTTGACCAAGCCACTTTTTCATATATAATATTAATAATAATAATAATAATAATGGTAATAAACGTTTTTATTAAGCAGCGATTAGTACAACATACTGACATAACCTTATCAGTATAACAGTAACCCCGTATAATATCCTTGATGCATTCAATGACATTAACCTAGTTCGTTGCAGTATGTAGTGCCAATATAACCAGCTGCCAAAACAATTTTGCAAAAGTTCCAAAAACTATGGCAGCTCAATCCGAACTGATCAATTGTTGCTGTTGTTATTGCTTTGAAGAATGAAAATGTCCATCTATCGGACAAAATCAATATCCTGGAAATTGAATTGGATACATCGAATGCCTAATCGTTATTAGCAGAAATGAAAAATATATGTATTAGGGAAAAAACCTTATGATCACTGGTTTTGTCGAAAATCGAAGCAACCCCGATGATTTAAATGCAGTTAGGACATTCCTAAATAACTTCTACCCAACTGCTGCACCAAAAGTTCTCAACATCTTGGGCATTGGTAACCCGTCTTCGACCACAATTCGCCTGCTGCGTATAACTTTCCAGAGCTCCTCAGAGGTTCTGTCGGTGTTGAAATGAAAAACTCTATGCAAGAACAAATTTCCAGGAGTAAACCTGCACTCAGATCTTACTCAATTACCTATCAGAACTAAAAAAATCTCTGTGAAGAACTTGAACGCAGAACTAACCTAGGGGAAAATTATATAACGATTAAATATGTACATGGATATCCGCGTATAATATCAAAGCAGGAGCAGATGAAACATCGAGAGAAGACACTACGTCACCTAGATCAACATCTCAACTAAAAGTTCACAGACCGTCTTCTGAGCCACATCTATCTGGTCCTGGCTCAGCCTCAGCATAGCAATTCCTGAAAAAAATATTTTGGAACTGCGAAGGCTTCAAAAAATTTTCGAACTTCCGATTGGTGCTAGAGATTTCGACTGTATATTATGTTTTAAGTGAAACATGGCTAACAATCGAAAAGAGCAGTGTCAGCTGACGTCACAATATGGCGCACTCGTCGTTTTTATCAGCTGATCGGGGAACAAACAAAGCTGAGTGTGAATTTTTATTTTATTTATTCTGACCCATTGGTGAATTCAGTAATTTTAAATTGACAAATAATCCAATTTGAACTCTTCATTGGACTCATTCACTTGTCTCACAATATTCATGATGAATGAATTAACAAAAATGACAATAATAGAATGCTCCAGGTATCGTAATATAGTTTGAAATGTGCAAAAAAGTTTCATTTACCTGCAAATTTACCTGATTTCAATGTTCTATGTAGCAGTGCTATAAATGAAAGATAGGAAGGAAGAGCCAGCGGCTAGCAGAAGCTTAAAAACATCAGAATGCACGTTTATTTGATCGATGTCCCTAATGGCTTGCCTTATTCCCATTAACGATTTTTGTACTACTCGATTAGTCATATTATTATGCAGCTTATTATTACCAGCAATAATTAGTGTTATTTAGTATTATAATTATTATTATATAATTTTATGATTCACATTTCAGTATTCTGCTGCACTCAATAAAGTTTACATGACCATGCGTAGCCCTTTTCCAGTGGATTTCAAAGTAAAGACCAGACCTCCATTTGATTTGTTCATAAGGAGTACCCCAGTATACAGTTCACCTCAATTTGCTCAAGACTGTGTTTATCGATGTCTGAATCATGAATTTTCAGTAGAGAAGGATCGTGATCGTGGTGAGTATTAATCAGATGCAGTAACTCAATTAAGTATCTAAATATCGACTGTTTGAATGAATTATAAATTTCTTCAATGGTATTCTCATAATTATGTAATACAACAGGTGTATTGATGATTATCGACGGTGTGACGGTGTTGCCAATCTTCAAACTTCTACGAGAAACTATTAAATCTCCATAATTAGTATTTTAATTAAACCTTATCAATCAAATATTCACATACATACGGATGAACATCTGGTCTGGAAGTTTGATCGATAGTTTCAATTAGTGTTACCAGTTCCATTAGACCGTGAAATGATTGAAATTAGCAAGTCACAAGTGCAATGGGTAGAAATGGATTAGAAGCGACAACCATGTGACAAGCAGAACGATAATGTGATTTACTTACCTGTCGAATGTCAACCATTCAACCAATCAACGAACACTAACGATGAACAGTATACGAGGTAAATGAAAAGAACTACCGAAAAGGAACTAAAATTCACAAGTGTGAGATTTTTCGTTACAACAAGGTGAAGAAGGACGTGGGGAAGCCCAAGGATGCTTATAAGTTTGAATTGTAGAAAATTCCGCTTTCGTGAGTGCTTTCGAATTCTTTCAAAATTTTTTTGGACACATGGATACTCAGGCCTGTCAAAAATGTGACAAATACTGTTTTTCTGAACGATTAGTAAATTTACATAATTATTTTACTACTTCAACTAACATTCAAAAACCATATGATAAACGATAATTTCAACTTATATTGATCTGTAACTTTACAAAGTAGCGCTCATTGGAGTCCTACTAAAAGAAGCAAAGAACATACAGGTTCAAGTGAAGTCTCACTCGAGATGATGAAGAATTTCAACAGCATCAAGATGAGCTCAAGAGGAGAAAAATTAAACCAACAGGTTGTCTCCAATTCGAGACGTTTCCAACAAAACACAATTACCACAACCAAATGAATTACTTTGAAATATTCTACTTTCAGTTTTTTATCTCTTGGAATACAATGGAGTACTTCCATTGGCAAATAATTCCAAAGCTTTGCTGTTCTACAGACCAACGAGTGCTGTAACCAGCAGTATAGTGCCTGTGTATAATTTTATATATAATATTGTTCACCCTTTATAAAGACAATTGGTGATGTTGTCATGAACAACTATAGAATTTTGTTATGCTATTAGGAAGTCAATAAAAACTTTTAATGTCAATCTGAAATATCAAAAATAGAATTTACTATACTAGCTGTATCAAGTGGGAACCAACCCCCATATATTTCTGTAGACAAATTCCTTCATAATCCGGCTCGAAGGACCATGAAGGAATTTGCCTACAGAAATATATGGGGCTGGTTCCCACTAGATACAGCTAGTATAGTAGTTTGATTAAAAAGTTGTTATTGACTTGGTCATTGTTTTACAAAATTCATGACATCACCAATTGTCTTTATAAAAGGTGACCAATATTATATATAAAATAATACACAGTGTCATAAGAATCAATTTCTCAGATCGATTCAATAGATCAGCAACAATCTGATTCCTGAGAATCCCTTGCTGATTAACCCGTATATGGTCATATGAAGATCAATACAATTTCTGAGATCACATGAATCTCGTGCTTCCAGAACCGATGTACCAGACTTCCTAAGATCAGCCAGAATCAGTGCTCCTGGAGAAAATCTCGTGTGCTCCCTGCTTATTATCCACTTGATTACGATTCTGCGATCGAATGGTGCAAGGATTAGTACACCTGGAGATCATTCCTTGCTGATTTCTGAGATCACAAGAATCCTGTACACCCTGTTGATTCTCCAAGTACGAAGTTGATACCAAAATCATATGGCGCTTCTACGATCAAGACCTTGGTCTCTTTGGATCTCGGTAACTGTGAGAGATAGAGTCGGGTAAATTACGAAAGGCTCATTTAATTCAATTGTGATTCAGAATCCGTCGAGAAATCTTGAATACCTTCAGTCATTTCTGAGTTATCTAAGAAAACTGAAATTTTGTATTTTCGTATTGATTGCATGAAAAGACGACTTCAACATTATGATTTTTGAAAAAGAAAGAAAATAATGAATTTATATCTAAGAAATTTACTATTTTAAACAAAAACTGACAAAACCATTCAAAATATCACTCAAAAGTACTATTAGAATGTTGAAGTCGTTTTATTATACAATCAATAATTTTCAAGATATTCTAAAAGAACAAAAATACAAAATTTTAGTTTTTCTTGAATAACTCAAAAATGACTGAAGCAAGTCTAGACCTCTTAACGGATTCTGATTCAAGATTGAATTTGCTGAAACTTTTGTGAATTAACGGATTCTCTATCTTACCGAGATCCCAATGGTGGGGATCGAATTTGGGACATACCGTATACATAAATGTATATTCCACCAAGTCAAAATCTGTAGATGAAAAGCTTAGGAGAATATTTTTCTTATTTCATTCGGGTTCCGGACACTTCGCCGACTGGACAAGGCCGAATTTTCGGTCAAAACGGTCAAACAGATCGTTGGACAAGTTGCCGACAGTGGTCATTTCGCCGAAACAGCTATTTGGACATTTCGCTGAGAATTTTGTTGCCTGGCAATTTGTCGGAAAAAACTGCCTCTGGCAGTTTTTTGAGTTGAATTACCTAATGGCAACAAAATTCGAATTATAAATGCCAAGACTTCGACTAAAAGAAAACCTAGAGTGTAATTCGGTAAGACAATTTAATTCATCAAACATTTGTTTATGGCTGGTTGTCATGTTTTCAAAAGTTACGTTCCGTTATTGTCGCTAGAAAAGTTGATAACAAAATCACGCGGCTTGTGGGATTTTTCATAGATGAATTAAATTGTCATGGAAATTAATCCTAGACCTGCTGGATACATTCTATTGGGTGGAATAATGTGTGAACCAAAAACTACCCCTCAACAACCCTCCGAAATAAAAAAAATTTGAATCAGATATTCCCGTTGCTAAAAGTTTTTTTATGGAAATGCTTTATCGTAAACCTTCTGAATACCCTTTATGGGGTGAAATAATTTTTGAACCAAAAATTTCCCCACAACAAGCCTCTGAAGTAGAATAATCTTAAAACAGTTGAAATTCTCATAGGTCGAAGTATTTTTGATGGAAATTAATTCTCCTAGACATCGTGAATACAACAACCCTCCGGTTCAGAAAAATCTTGAAAAAGTAGAGATTCCCGTTGCTCGAATTTTTTTGATAGAAATGAATTTTTCTAAACCAGCTCAATACACTCTATATGGTTAAATAATTTGTGAACCAAAAATTATCCCAACATCTCTCCGAAGTAAAATGATCTTGCTCGAGATTTTCTGGTGAAAATGCATTATCCTAGATCTGCTGAATATGCTCTATATGGTGGAATAATTTGTGAATCAAAAAATACTCTTCCACAACCCTCCGAAAGAAGGAAAGTACTCGTTATCTAAACTAATGTGGTAATGACTTTGAGTGAGTATTTGGTTTTTTTCATAGTCGAAAATACGCCAGTCCGCTCCCATTTCCCTTGTAATGGGATTTTGTTTTGAAGTGTTTCTTTCCTTGCCAGGTGGTGTTCGGCGTTCGCTTTCATTTCGCGGACGTTGAACGCCTCGTGGAGTATAAATGCTGAGATACGTTTACGTTGGGTCAGGTTCGCACCAGATAGCGGTCAAGAATGCTATCTGAGACAGCCCTCTACTCCTGAGGGTGGTCGAGGGGTATTTTTGGGTTCATACATCATTTTCACCCTATAGAGCGTATTCAGCAGGTCTATAATAATTCGCATTCATCAACACTTCGAGCACAGGGAATATAATAGTAGTAATGAAAAATTATTCAGCAGGTCTATAATAATTCGTATTCATCAAAACACTTCGAGCACAGGGAATTCAATAGTCATAATAAAAAATAATGAATCATCTTTATTCATCATTTGCAGAAAAAGAACGCACAACATCGTTTTAGAATATCTAGACAAGGGCTAGAATTTATATTCCTTTCATCGAGCACTATAAAATTAAGTTTCGGGGTCGCGCATCTCTGAAAGCAAGAGAAAAATTCACCTATACTTACCAATGAATGTATTCTTCGTTCCAATGCTCGTTGCAAAACTGGCAACACTGCCGGAGCTCGCTTTATCTCAGAATGAAAATAATATAATATACGCAAAGGACGTCGTATAGTCGATAGAATGAAAGGTATTGTATCTTGGACTCCGTAAATGCAGTAATATGAAAGAAGCTCTCAATGATGGTTGAATGGATAAATTAAAATTGTCGATTAGTTGTCATATATTTACCTATTTGGATTTCCGGGCGCTACAAGAACGGCTTGTGAAAGGACGCCTCATTGATAGAGGGATGTACAGTGTGGTCATTCAAGTGTGTTACATATGGGAATATTTTTAATGAATTGCACAACCAAAATACAGATAGTGCCGAAAGTTGGTGCATGTTCGGTAATCATTTTAGGTGCACCTAGAATGGTTGCAAGTCAAACAGCTTACAGGGTAGGTCAAAGAATTTTGAAATTGGTCAAGAGTAAAGTACCCTTATTTCGGAACATTCAGTCAAATGTTATTGAGAAAAGTTGTTAACAATTGAAAGTTATGCCTAGATACCAAAGCATGGCCTCCTAAGGCATTTTTTAGTTGTCACCAAACTGTCTTAATGTTTACTGTCAACCCTCATTTGTTTCGTTCCTTGGGAATTCGTGATTATTTCAAATGATATCGTGGTTATCGATTGATTTTCACACTAAATGAAAGTTTTCGAATTTGCAAATTATCATTAATGACGTTTTACCTTCTTAAAAATATGATTTGCGAAATTTTAAAGTTAAGCTAAATATCGTTGCAACAAACATGAAGTTTGTGATTCCCTATAAAAATTAAAATCCAAGTTAATTGCACAAATATGCTTGAATTTGAACAAAGGTATGATCAACTTATTTTGTTATGATTAACTTATGGAAGTGTTCAGGGTGAATATAAAAAAATTACAAATTGGGATATTATTAATGAAAATAATTTAAAAACTCAAATATGTCTTGGGTGGCCATGTTTTGGTATTTTGACATAACTTTCAATTGCAAACAACTTTTCTCATTAATATTTTGCTGAATTTTCTGAAATAAGGGTACTTTACTCTTGAACAATTTTCATATTTTTTGACCTACCCTGTATGCTGTTTGACTTGCAACCATCTTAAGTGCACCTAAAATGATCACTGAACATGCACCAACTTTTGGCACTATCTGTATTTTGGTTGTGCAATTCATTAAAAAGATTCCCATATGTTGCACACTTGAATGACCACACTGTATACATAAAAACGTTTTGGAGAATTTTTATATCGTTTAAGCATTCTATTCTCTTTCTCTCGATAGGTCACGAGCAAATATTTGGTTTTCATTTTTTTTTAAGTATTTATATTCCCACATTATAATATACACGGTGGTCCGAAATTTTTACTTACATCATTAATTTTGGAAATAATTTCCGAACAGCTACTCATATTTGTCTCATTTGTAATGACTTCCGTGAAAGTTACTGACATTTTTTCGTTCCGTTCCTCATTTTCAAACATATTATCTTATCTTTTTTAGATCTCATGGACCACATTCGTCCACATATCATAAGATGTGCCAACAAAGCTACCATGTACTTGGGAGACAAATCAAAAAATGAACGCCTAAGCGTTGTGATACCTTTTCCTGTACCACAAAATCCTTCAGTCATAGTAAGGGAATTGTATGAGTTTGTGTGCACAAACTCCTGCCCTGTTCCTGGAATAAACCGACGAACAATAGAAGTTATCTTCACTTTGGAAGATTACACGTGAGTGACAAAAATCAAATAATAATAATGAAAAAAAAAATCATCAGAAGGAATTTGTTTGTCCCTCATTGTTCTCTAAACTATTATTCTAATTGTCATTAATAGATTGTATCAAGGTTTAGGGGTAACAAAAACTCCTCCAGTCTAAAAATTAGTCAATTGACAAGTTATTTAACAGGCCTAATTTTATGTTTCAGCAACATTTTTCAGACTCATTTCATTGTGAAAAGTAGGATCACCTTGACGCTCTACTTTTTGCTATGGCATAATTTCTTCACAGATTTTGTGATTTCTTTCTCTGGCGTACTATCTCTTTATTATTCATTTACATTTCAACAATAACAATTATAAACTAAATTCACATCATAGTAGTACATTCAGTTCAAACTTATATTGTTGCAAATAAATCTTATTGTAATGTTTTGAAACATGTGGATATACATATCTAGATATTTTGATAGGAAAAGAACACAATTTATGGCCCTAGAATTACATCATGAAGTTTCAACATTAGACTTGAAATTAAAATCCATAGTTAGTTATTGAATGTCTGCAAAAATGCAGAGTGACATAATATTGAAATACAGTTGATTGTATGAAGGCATATCAAAAATGTTCTAAGGATAACTGATACCATTTGGATTATATCCACTTTGTAAAGTTTTGAAATATCATCCTACTTAACGACATAAACCATAAGAACTATAATTAAGATCAATGATGCTGGACAAAAACAGTGCTTGATAAATCCTTCAAGGATCTGTGTGCGCACATTTCAATAGTATATTTTTGGGATGTGGTACCATTTACAATTTATATATCTTTTTATTCTTGACTAGTTTTCAAGAATTCAGACGGATCTGAAATGTTCTACAACATCGCAAGGATACAATTTTATCTGAGTAAGATAATAATAATAGCATGAAACTATACTAGTAATAGGGAATTTCGCCATGATTTTTTGAATTTTTTTCACGATTTAGAAAACATACTGGGTGAATTCAGCATTTTTTCAATTTTCTTACGATTGCGGTTGACCCAGAAAAAAATTATTAAATTGAACCTAAATTCAAAGGATAGCTCGAATGCGCGCGAAATATTGAAGGCATTTCATTTGACGAATACAAGGTGCGTCACACCGCGTCATACACTTCGAACGGCCATTCTCATTGGGTAATTCGTCTTGTCACTTGGTCTTGTCACCATTTGTCACTCAATAAAAACTATAATATTACCCTGATAGTTCACTGAAAATGAAATGAAATAATGAACTATGAACTAGATTTCGAGGTTAATCTTTTTCTTCTTCTATAGTTTGTTTTGTAGCCATTTTTCTCTCAAGTCACAGATCACCCAACCACTTTGTGCTCGAGTTCTGTCTGTGGTTTTGTGCAACGCATCCTCTTTGGGTCGTCAGAGGGAGCCTCAAGAAAATACAAGTGACGTCAGAACGCGAAAAATGGTCGTTTGGAACTCTCTCAATTTGTAGCATTTTTGAAGTATTAATTAAACGGTTGTAAAGGAATCAATAGATGAGAGGAAGTGCTATTTGATATACTGAGTCATGTATGAGACCGTTCGCCATATAAAAAGGGATATTTTGGCGATACTTTTAAAATGTCTATTTTTAAAATTTGTTGGTAGTAAATTTATGATTTTAGGTGCTTTACATGAGATGTGCTTTTATTTTGCTGAGAATTCGGCATTTGAGGGAATAGCATTTTCATGAGTTACTGCACGTGTAACAGTTGAATCAGCTATGAAGTTATTAAATATGCTTCTGAATTTGAAAGCAATACGCAGTGTGCTTTTAATACACATTTGCCTAACATTAAGTAGTTTTGACTGCTTTGTTATTACCAATAGTAGTGAAGAATTCGTTAATTCATTTGCTATATCACCGAGTTTACATATTTCTAAACCTTGCTTATTTTTAACAGATATAATTTGCAAAATAAAGTAGGTATAACTAACATGTGACCTGAAAGGTCTACCAAAAAATCATAAAATAGTATAAAAGAGTTTTACCAACCTAAATATGAAATGCATTCCAAGATGTTCCAAAGGAACATTGGGCAATCGGAAAACCAAAAAGCACCAAATTTGATATTGAAATTTGATAAAGAAGTAAAATCGGGCAAGGATATTCAACAATTCCCAACAGCATTTTATCAAATATCTTGTTGAACAACGAAATATCAAAAGTTTCAGGAGGGCCAAATTCAGCTATTGAATGGTTGAATGAGGGCTTACATTTTCAGTCTCACCAGTTGGCGCTACTAAAACATGATGTTAGTGTCAAAGTCGAAAATCCCAAAATTTTGCCAGATAGCCCTAAAGGCTGAGGCTTGTTTTATCGAAAATATTCGAAAAAAAATATGTGTAATATTTGAACAAATAGAAAACCTCAACATATGGAAGGACTTGGGCAGGCTCACGTTTTTTTTACTCCCTCAAGTAATATCGTAGAAAGAGGCCAAATGACACAAAAAAAAGAAGTATATTTATCAGTTCTACCAACTCTGACCTCAAGTTTCAGTAGCGCGATCTGGTGGACAATAAATAATGTTGGCCCTTTTTTTTGGATGCATGATAAATTGATATTCATCATACAGGACGTGGAAAGAAATTCTGAATTGAGAAAACCTAATCACGCATTTGCGATTGAGGTCTATAAAAACAAACAAGTTTCCATCGTTCAAGTTTGAACTCCTTGATTGAGTGAAAGTATTGAAAAGGAATATTCTCAGATATACAGGGTGTCCGCTAAAAGGAGGTCAATCCATTAACCATATATTCCTTGAACAAAAACAATATGAGTTTCTAAATACCATTTAGTTCAGTTTACTGATGAGAATTTGATATCCGAAATGAGGGGGCCAGGTAGCCGTGCGGACAGAGTGTCTATATTCTAATTCGCATTAGCTTGCCGGTCGTGGGTTCGATTCCCATCGACTGCAGAAATTTTTCTGGTGGCCCAAGAAAGTGTTTGGGATCACACGTTGAAAATTAAGGCCCCCGTCATTCCTTGCTTGCACAAGACTTCTGAGGGTTGCTCGTAAGGGGGCAACCGAATGACGGATAAAACAATTTTAGTACAATTTTTTAGTTTTACTCGAGTGAAGTCATATAACCTGTTTGTGAGAGATATAATTAATTTCCTTACCGTTGATACGAATGATTTTTTTTTTGAAGTTCCAAGCTCATCAAGATCAGAGTTCATACAAGAATACTTCTACACATTTCAATTTTTTTTTCAATACTGAAAATATTGGAAAGTTATATTTTTGTATCATAATAATCATTTTATTCTATTCGATTTGAGAGATAATGTCAATTCTCAATTTCAGAAGATTTTGATTTTTCATGCTCTCTTTTTGGATATTCAACAGATATAATTCAATATTCGACGTGGCAAATAGCCAGAAAAGTAGTTGTTCTTTGTTGAATATTCAGAATATTATGTGCATATCTTTATATAAAGGAAAATGCAAATTCTCTACTTCAGAAGATTTTATTTCCAAATTCTTATCGTGTCTTTCCACTAGATGTAATTCAATGTTCGTCGTGGCATATAGCCAGGAAAGTAGTTGTTTTCTGTTGAATAAACCGATAAAGAATTCATATTACCATCACATAGAGAATGCGAATTCTCAATGTATTTCTTTATTTATATACAGGGTGTCTGGAGATAAAACCGACAAAACCTATGGGGTTATAGGGACTGTCAATATGATTGCAAAATGCCATGAATAAATGTCCAAAACCGCTTCGTTACCGACATACAGAGTGATTTGTGGATTTTGACAAAAAATTTAATGCGTCATATCAAATACAGGGATTAACCGATTAGATTAAAATTTGGTACACTAATTACACTGATAGGCATCAACAAGTCGCCCTTCGATCGAAACGAATATCGGGACCGAAATAATATTTTTCCCTATGTTGAGCAATTGTGAGAATTATACTCACTCTGTATAATAATAACCAAAAATTCGAACTCAGATTCGAAATTTACGGTGAAAATCGTATAGGAATTTAATGAAGAATCTTCTGGCACTATCTCAGTTATTCCGTAATTAATCAATATTTTAATTTTCTTCATTCAAAAATCAATTATTGTCGGATAAAGTACCATCAAAATTGGTAATATGATAAATATTCACGAAACCATGACATGAATGTCGTTATTTTCTTCAATCAGTTCGTAACGTAGTAAAATAAAATACTCTCATAACCCGAAAAATCTGAAGAATAAATTCGTATCGGGACTGGAATGAGTTCGTTTTTGGTTCATGTTAGCTGACCTAGTACATCAATAATTATCAATAATCTTAACGTAGATTTGGAATCTGAAAAAATCGCATGAGAACTTGTTGAAAAAGGACTAGAGTGAATTTTTCGTAAATTATATTCGCACACTGTGAATTCTTGAAAATACTACACAACGAACAATAACTGTAATGAACATAACAAAACAAATAAATTTTTGAAAAACTTCCACTACCCAGTATTACAAAACATTTTCGCAGTGGAGCCCTCCAGCATCAGTAGGTACATTTTTGAAAGCGTGCTATTAGATGATTCACTGACTTGCCAATTTTTTTTTGGTTACTTCTAACACAATCACAGGCAGCAGTAATTTTTTCTAATGAATGTTCTCTATTTTTGATTTCTTCATTATAAACTTCTGACTTCAAATGACCCCATTAAAAATAATCTAGCGGAGTTAGATCAGGGGATCGCGGTGGCCAATCTACCTTCACGGCCGATCCATCTATTGGGGTAAGTGACATCGGGATAGTTTCTAACTAGAACTGAGGTTTAGCACCATCATGCTGAAACCACATACCTCAGGTATTTACACCTTGCAATAGATCCGGTAAAGTATTGACCAGGAAATTTAGGTAAACATCACCAGTTAACCGTCCTTCAATTACGTGAGGTCCTATCAAATGATTATCAATAATTCCACACCATACATCGACATTAAATCTGCATTGAAAGTTTTTCCGAACAATGGCATTTGGGTTGTCGTCTGCCCAAATATGCATATTTCCAGAATCATTAATTCCATCCCTGGTAAATTGGCTCTCGTCGGTAAATAACATTCTGTTGATGGTCCTTCTATGTGCTGAACACCATGTTGAAAACGATACTCGTGGTACATGATCACCCTCTTCTAGAATTTGCACTTTCCTTATGTGGTATGGATGCAAACTATTTTATTTTAATGTATTCCACACATGCATACGAGATAGCGCCAATTGCCTACTTATTCTTCTTGCGGTTCTAAAAGGATTATCATTTATTGCTTCCAGTATTTGCTCTTCTTGCTGAATATTATTTCTTCGAGCACCTTCTCGTCCTTCATTTGATGAAACTTTCCCTGTTTTCCTAAAACTTTGAGGTACCAAAGCAAATGTTGAGTGGTATGGTATGCGATAGCGACACAAATAAAATATCTGCGTATTCCTCATTCCTCACACTCTCAAAACTATAGTTTTATCTTAAAAACACTGGAATTATAGACCAATAAAACAAACGCTAATGACAGCTAAACAATAGTTTTCCATAATGTGATTCTGAATTTGACACAAGAAGCCTACTGCATTCTTTGTACACAAACATTATTAGCTAAAAGCATACGGATTTATTATTTGAAAGTTCAGTTCGATCCTTTTTCAACAAGTTTTTAACTCTCCTCAGTGGATTTCGAATCTGCGATTAGTTAATTGTTATACTAGATCAGTCATTCTCACAGGAATATAATTAAAAAAAAACTCATTCCAGTCCTGATACGAATTTATTCTTCAGTTTTTTCGGGTTATTGGAGTATTTTATTTTACTACGATTCACGAATTGACTGAAGAAAATAACGACATTCATGTCATGGTTTCGTGAATATTTATTATATTACCAATTTTGATGTTACTTTATCCGATAATAATTGATTTTTGAATAAAAAAATTTGAAATAATAATTAATTACGGAATAACTGAGATAGTGCCAGAAGATTATTTAACAAATTCCTATACGATGTTTACCGTAGATTTCGAATCTGAGTTCAAAATTTTGGTTTTTAGTATACAGGATGAGTTATTCTCACAATAACTCAACATAGGGAAAAAATATTATTCCGGTCCTGATATTGGTTTCGATCAAGGGGCTACTCGTTGATGCCCTTCAGTGTAGTTTGTGTACTGAATTTGAATCAAATCGGTAAATCCCTGTATTTGATATGGCTGATCAATTTTTTTGTCAAAATCCACAAATCACTCTGTATGTCAGTAACGAAGCGGTTTTGGACATTTGTTTATGGCATCTTGCAATCATATTGACAGTCCCTATAACCCCATGAGTTCTGTCGGTTTTTTTCTCCGGACACCCTGTATATCCATTTTTTGTGTTCATAAATATATCTGAGGATATTCCTTTTCAATGTTAGCCCCCATTTAGAAATTCATTGAAATCTGGTCAACGGCATTCTGAAAAAAAGTTCCTTCTTGTGCAATCAACAGTAGGTATGTACATACGCTAGATGATATGAAAATATCCCTTGCAAAACATGCAAACTTCAACGCACTATATCTCAATGACGAACAGTTATAGAACATGATAGTCAGGCCTAACAGATTATGATGATATTTTCATTTCTAGTGGTATGTCTGAAGCTAACCTCGATCATCGAGATATTCGAATTGATTTATTCGTTTCAGTGGAAAAATTTATGGTCGGAAATCTTTGAACGTCCGAGTTTGTTCCTGTCCCAAGAGAGACAAGGAGAAAGATGAAAAAGACAATTTAGAGAATGGCCAACCACCGCAAGGGAAAAAAAGAAAGTTAGAGAAACCTCCGAAGAGAGCAGTGGCATCCACTGACGATTTCAAGGAGTTCAGTATTACTGTAAATTCGGAAATAACTACTTGTGAACCATTTTTTAAGATTACTTATTTCAGATACCGTTAGTGGGGAAACACAACGAACAACACGTTCTCAAATATTGCCATGACCTGATGGCTGGTGAAATTCTGAAGCATACTAGTTCTGGAACAGAAGGTCCATACAGGATTGTTCGTAATAAAATAAACGCAATGATGAGTAAGTGAAGCACAATAATTTGATTAGTTGCAGTTTATTGTACTTTTATTAGAAATCATTCCAAATTACCATTAACTTAGCTAATCCAGCTAATGATCAAGGCCATCTCAAACTTTGCTGGGGCCCTTGTGCACACAAGAATTTAGGGTTTGGGTAGTGAAGAGAGTGAATTATACTAACATCTTTCTATCATGACCTATTTATTATGGGTAATCAAATAAACAATATAATATCTTGATGATTACAAACATTTTGGCGGTGGCGGTGTTAGGTTTTGTGCTTGTCAAAAATATAAATGTTAGAGAAATTATCGGTGTGCACCGTGTGGCCTTATGGAAAAGACGGTATCGCTAATTATTAATTATAAGTTTTCGCTATATCAGCCGAATTTTACAAGAGCGGTTCTAGAGTGAAATTTTAAGGGATTCAATTCAAGTAAATATATAACATTTATTCGAACTGAAACCTGACATGAAAGGCCAATGAAAATTCTTTGAATTCGCTGCAGCAGTGTGAGTACTTTGAAATGTCATTCGAAAACTTCGATGAAAAAAATAGCGGGGAGTTAAACTATCCAAATCTACCTGCAACAACCAAGTACCAGTCCAGTGTGCAATGATAGCGGGTTGGGTGCGCTTAACCGCCTTCTATATATCGTGTTTATCGGAAGTCGAAAAAATTAAGAATACTACCGATATGGCAGCATTTATTTTGCAGGAATATTGTGATTGATACTAATTTACGTTAGAAATGTTTCTGACTGCCGCCGACCGAATTCCAGAACAATTCTGAAAGAATTATAGAAATTTCGTTGGCACCGGATCATTATAATCAGGTTGCCATCGAAAACTTTTTGTGAATCGCCCTGACTTGGTTTCAAATCTAGTAGATAAAAATACCCGGATAATCAGTGACGTTTGCTTGGCGGCCGTTGCTATGGGTTACGGCTGCAAAATGTATCTGCACGAAATAGATATTAGAGAGTTGAAGAAATCACTGTACGTAGACCTCGATGTAGACGTTAACGTACGAAAATACGTTTACATAATCAGTAATAATACATTTTATTTTCGATTTTTATTGGTTATTTTTGGTTGTTGGTTTTCATCTAAACATTTATTCCTGTTAAAATTAAAGGATTCCTTGATGCAGAACTCCATGGGTATCCCGAATTTGATAATTTTGACGCATCGGCATATTTCGAGTAGTTTGGTTAACGTACGTTGATATTTAAGGTATACGTAAAAGTACGTGAGATAATAGGGAGTTAAAGCAATGCAGAATGCGTAAACGTAAACGTAGAATTTGACATCTAAGCATGCGCAGTATGCGAATTTCCGACAAGAGGAGATACGTCTGACGTATGTTTACGTCTTGCTACGCTGGCGCTAAACGCAAATCGTATTGAACCGAAGACGTTACCTATCTAAGCGAATACAAACGATAACTATTCGGTTTTTACTGTAACCTCACTTTTATCACATGAAATCACATTTGTTTTTTATTGCGCTTTGTTCTTGTGTTGTGCTTCGAAGAAATCATGGACAATTCAAATAAAATTATTCTCTTTTCCTTGGAAGATGATTCGCATCTAGCAAGGGAAGTTGTAGGCCATAGTCCCTACGAAGACACGAGCCGTTGGAACCTCATCCAAATGAATATAATGTAAATTACTGGAAAACTTATAGCTTCCTGGTATTCCTAGGGCTCTAGCTAATCTTGGAATGTCATTTTTCGCAAATCGAAATACATTTTTACAATCTATTTCAAATAAATTGTTTAAATTGATATATCTTTATAATTCCCTTCGATTATCTAAATTGTCGTTCTCATTCAGTACATGAAGGATGAACTTATTATCTAGGTCATCGTCACTATTAGCATCGCTATCATTTGTAGCTTCGAATATCAAAAACTCTTCCATTTTGCAACGAAGGGTTTGCAGCAACAACACTGGAACAATATCTAAGTAAGCGAAGACTAACAAATCAAAATAATCGAATGGAAAAGAAAAATAGGGTTAAAATAAGTCTGGTCTTGTATCTTGTATGTACGTAAAACATGTACGTACCATACGGTAGCTTTAACGCTACTTTTCATTGAATACGTACGTATTTCTATTCACGTTTACGTCCATACGTAATTGCAAGTTTTTGTATTGGCTTTAACCCCCTAATGTACAACCGTATGCCCACTATCAACGTAAACGTGAGGAATTGGAAAATGAGCATGTGTAGCTGTCAATTTCTACGTCTATGTTAACGTTCTCTAAGAGAGTTGAAGTGTTGCCATGAATATGCCCGGAGCGTCAAAATTATCAAATTCGGGATTTCCAAGGAGTTCTGCATCAAGGAGCCCTCTCATTTTAGCAAGAATAAATGTTCAGATATAAATAAACAACCAAAAATGATTAATACAAACCGAAAACAAAATGTATTATTACGTTACGATGACAGTGACGACCAAAGTGACGACTGATGACAAACGTAATTTTTCGTACGTTAACGTCGACGTGGAGGTCTACGTACAGTGATTACTTCAACTCTCTATTAGAGAATTGAAGTGTTGCCATAAACGTTAACGTAGATAATTGACAGGTACGCATGCGCATTTTTCAATTCTTTTCAATTCACGTATACCTTGAATATCAACGTACGTTAACCAAACTGTGCTCGAAATATGCCGATGAGTCAAAATTATTAAATTCGGGGTCCCCAAGCATCAAGAAGCCCTCTCATTTTAGCAAGAATAAATGTTCAGATCTAAACAAAGAACCAAAAATGGCCAATACAAACCGAAAACAAAATATATTATTATATTACGATAAGGCCAAAGTGACGACTTCAACTCAATTTAAAGACAATGCGTGAACGTTATTTTTTCGTACGTTGACGTCTACGTGGAGGTCTACGTACAGTGATTACTTCAACTCTCTATTTACGTACCTAACGTGTTACGTACAATATTTTTTCTAATTTTGAAGAAAAATTCTGCTTGAACATAAATTATGACCGGTTGTACATGGATTCTACCAATTATGTACAAACTTTAGTAGGCAAGTTTACTTCGCCCGTCACTTTGAAGTATCCGTCAAACAATAATACGATAAATCAGCGACGGAATTGACGAAATTCGCGAAATCGACTTGTTTTACAATGATATCGAGGAAGCAGCACAAAATGCACTATTCTCTTCGTCCATCCATATGTTTTCGTGCTTACAAAACAATGGAGAGCATTTTAAACAATTCATAAAGTAATTAGTTATATCTGTATGTCACTACTATCATTATCATAATATGTTACAATGCACAAATTGGGGAGGTTAAGTACTGTCAATCTGCGGAAAAAAATTGAAATAGATATAACTCATCTAGAATAACATAAGAATTGAAAAAAATAGCAAAATAAGTGGGTATTACAATATTAAATTTCAGGAGTAGTTGTCCTGAAGGTCAAGGGCTTGAATAAAATATAACAAATTACCTCAGAGGGTGTCCCCCTTGATATGTAAATTGACCTGTTCTGCAAAATTTTCAGTTTCATTGGTTGAAGAAATATTGAGGGCTGCTCGTTTTCGAATTGCCACCCTGTATATATTACATAATATTTTGGTATCACTATACTGAATAACAATAATACTAATGAAGATGATAATGAAATAAAGATTCAAGTTTTTTTTACTATATTTATCAGTTTTTTTTTTCTTTTCTTTTTAGAGGACCGTACTGATTGAAACTTCGACTTTATGTAAGTGAATAATGTGAGAAAAATCTTCCTATTCTACAGCTTTATGAGAACCATGTAATTGGGTGATTTTTCGGTTCATACACTAATATGAATCTCTCTCATGGGAAAACATACTTAGACATTTCCATTTATTACGATAACGTACCTATACAATTATTATTATTATTTACGATATTGGGTACCTACTGAAGTTTGATTCCTAAGCCAAACGTGTTCCGAAAATATGGAAACAGTTTAGACAATAAGTCATTGACATAATAGTCCAATCATATTGGAATTTCACTTGGAAAATGTCCCCAGAAAACAAGAATTGGCATATGCATATTTCTAATGCTCAATAACGAAATACGAAAAAAAAAACACTAGAACATGCTGTGCTACACCAGATTTTCAGTTTTTGAGCAATCATTATGTAATCAATCGTAATGATATATTATTTTATTCTTTTTGTACTTATATTTCATTATTACATTCTATCATGTCAAACAAGTGATTACAAAGTGTTCTTACTTATACATTTTTTCGTACCAGTGTTCTTAACTATTATTTTGCATGAGTACCCAATATTTCTCATAGGTATAGGTATTTGTATTTAGTATTTATATTGAGTTTTTACTTTTTCTGTTTTGATATATTTTTTAAATATATTTTATAAATGAATTGTATGATTCTTTTAAACTTCAGCTAGATGTTGGTAGAATATGATCGATCTATAATACCGTGTTCTACAAATATCTTGATTATGTGAAGGTCAGTCAATTCCAAACCAAATTACAAGCAACATAACACAGAGCCAGTTGGCACTGAACAGATCAGGAAGCCATTTCTCGTCTAAGACGTGAGTATATTAATTTACTGAATAGCTATTTGTATATCAAGGGAGGAAAGGTATCCATTTCCTCCCGCGTAGCGGAGGGCTTCAAACCCACATGGTAGGAAATGAACCTTTGCTCCCATGATATATATATACAGTCTGTGCAAGATAAGGTTGAACAGCATGGGGATCTCGAAAACGGTAGGAGATACGAAGTCGGTTAAATGGGGAAAAAGTTGCGCATTCGGAGGCTCATATCAAGAGCCTTCGAAAATTTTTAAAATTATTTTCAGTTTTTTAGTAATATCAAAAAAGTGAATTTTTGGAATATCTATTTTTTTTTTCTCCGTTATTATTAGAGATACAGAAAAACTGAGAATACTTTTTCATATCAACTTTTGATGACGTTTAACGTGGTGATACCAATTTTTCTATGCGACGTTTCGTATTCGTAGAACCATCATCAACTTTTGTTTTTTAAATACGGTCCTGATAATTTTTTCACAGATTCTGAAAGGTTTCTTTATTCTGAATTCAACCATGTATTATACAAGGTGGTTCATGTGTGTTTCGACCTATTTTTAACCATCATCAATGTTTTTTCGAAATTCCAAAGGAGACATGCCATCAGTTCCACTTATTTTGAAGGAAAATTAGTCAACACACTAATACCTCATCAACTGGTTTCAATCAACAACCCATTCCATTTTGCAGAAACAAAAATTCCATCCATACAAATTCAAAATATGTCGAGCGCTAAAACCAGGCGATGAAGGCGCGATGAAAGGCGCAGGACATTCTGTGAGTGGTATACCAGGAAATGTCAAAATTTTGCAGATTTCCCGCGAACAATCATCTGGACTGATGAAAGCATGGTCACTATTCATGGTATCTTCGATAGAAAAAATACACATTATTGTTCACGAGAAAATGAACATTTATACATTACAGCGAGACGCCAACACCGTTTCGGCTTTAATATGTGGGTTGCAATATTTGGTACACGAATTATTGGTCCTTTTATTCACCATGAAACACAGACTTCCTAACGTTATAGAAATTTGCTTGAGAATCATCTTGAGGAAGGAAGCTCTGGATGATTTACCGATTGCAGAAGTTCAGAACTGTTGGTTTCAACAAGATGGCGCTCCGGTACATAATTCCAGAGAAGTTCGTGCGTTTTTATCCAGAAAAATGGATTGGTACTCATTCTGTAGTCCCTTGGCCGGCGCGGTCACCTGATTTGACACAGCTGGATTTTTTTTAGGGGATATATCAAAAACTTTGTACACGCAAATAGCTTTGATGATGAAGAAGAACTGAAGGACTGTGTCATCGAAGCATTCAATATAATAACCCCAGAAATGCTTAGTAATGTCTTAGAAGTAACTGTGAGAAGAGGATATCTTTGTTCAGAAAATAATGGTTATCATTTTGAACATTTGTTATGAATGTTTCTGAAGGTATTGTCAAAGTTAAGTTGTTAAAGTAATTCGTATAAGAATTCATCAACAATTTCAAGCGCTGCATTGAATGATGTAGTGAAATATTTTTTATTCACTTTTCAGTATTGAATAACTAATCCATCAATGTTTGACACTGAATGATCAGAAATAAATGGAACTGATGGCACTTTTCCTTTGGTAGTTCGAAAAAACATTGATGATGGATAGAAATAGGTCGAAACACATTCGAATCACCTTGTATAATACATGGTTGAATTCAGAATAAAAAAACCTTTCAGAATCTGTGAAAAAATTATCAGAAACGTATTCAAAAAACAAAAGTTGATGATGGTTCTACGGATACGAAACGTTGCATAAAAAAATTGGTATAACCACGTTAAACGTCATCGAAAGTTGCTATGAAAAAGTATTCTCAGTTTTTCTGTATCTCCAATAATAACGGAGAAAAAGAAATAGATATTCCAAAAATTCACTTTTTTCGATATAACTAAAAAACTAAAAATAATTTTAAAAATTTTCGAAGGCTCTTGATATGAGCCTTCGAATGCGCAACTTTTTCCCCATTTAACCGACTTCGTATCTCCTACCGTTTTCGAGATCCCCATGCTGTTCAACCTTATCTTGGACAGACTGTATATAAGTATATAATGTGTCCAATAACAAAATAAGAAGAGCAAGTAGCTGTAAAAAAAAGGGCAATTCGTCTCGTGGGTGATGCCTCGCTCACAAACTCACTCACTTCTCTGGAACACCGTAGAAAAGTTGGTGATCTTCCTCCCTTGGCAGTCCCCGCGAGATTAACCCGTCGAGTTGAGGCTTCGCACCCCCTCGTGGTCACTTTGGAGACCTGCAGAACATATCTTCCCAAAGCCTCGTTCATCCAACGAACAGCGAGGCTCTGGAACACATTGCCAAGGGAGGTGTTCCCTGAGGCATATAACCTTTAGAAATTTAAGAAGAACACCAATTCCTACCTTATTTCCCTTGGTTCTCAAGATGTTCTCTGAACATTACTGGATATCCCTTTTCGTGAAAACCAGAACATGAAAAAAGGCAACCAACAGAGGGGAAAATAAGGCGAAATTTCGAACTTTTTCTTGATATATCTCGATACTTAGTGGTTTGTTCACATTTTCATTGTCGAATACGTACGTAACAAATAAATTAAAAAAAAACATCGCACGATGAGTACAAAATTACCCCGTGAGGTGTTTCTTTACTGGCGCGTGGCCAGTCAGTTCCGTGTTAGTGTTAATCATATAACACTCTCTGTTGATATTCCGCAGGTCTGCAGATCGTTTGTGGCTTGATTCCAATTGATTTGTTTTTTCTTTTCTGTTATGAGCTGAGTTTGTACAAAAATCTTATGTCTGTTATGAGCATAACGTGATCGTCATCTCTTCATCTATAATGTTTCGAGAACATTGTGCGTACCTAGAGAGGATAGCGACAGGAGGTAGGTATTGAATTTGTTTCAACTCTTGGGGATTATAAGTTCTTGGGAATACCTTCTTTGGCAAAGAAATCCAAAGCTTTGTCGTTGAATAGACAAACGAGTTCTCGTAAAGTGTTGTTCGACATATCTCAAGGTTGATGACGAAAGGATGTTCTGAAGAACATTTCTTGCTGAAGTATCAATAGAAAAGTGAAAGGTCGCCGACTTCGACTTCTACGGTGTTCCAATGATGTCAAAGAATTAGTGAGTGTGGCATCACCCACACACCTGACGATTGGCTCTTCTCCGGATGGAATCTTAGAGGTTCAGCGTATGTTTGGGTGCTGTACCCCATGTGTGGGAACAGTATTTTAGTCATATCTGTGCGTTGTAGATCATGAGAAGCTGTTGAGGTGTGAAGTAGACTCTCGCTCAGAATAAAAATCCGAGTTTTTGTGAAGCAGCTCTCGCGATGGATCCTACATGATTATACCATGAAAGAGCAGTATTGCTGATGGAAATACCGAGCATAGATAGTGGACTTTGTGGGAATGATGGTACTATACATTGATATATCAGGCATATTGAGTTCAGCCTTTCTAGAGAAAGTACAGGCTTGAGTTTTGGTGGCGTTGAATTAAACAAGGGTGTTAATTGGTTCCCCAGGCTGTAATTTTAGCAAGATCTTCATTGATAGCATTTACATGCCTGCGTCGTAAGCTATTAGTTTCCTAAGAAGAAATAGAAATTCTGGAAGAGAACGCAGTATGGAGAGTACTGAAATCTGCAAAGCCGTGGATATGGCAAGTGGTTACTCCCACCAGATAATTGATATACAGGCTCCTGTATCTCACCCCCCGTTTTCTATAGCTCAGTTATCAGTTGAGTCAGGATTTTGATATTGTGCAGACTTCAATTGTATCATAGGATGCATATCAAGAAAATAATTTCGACTACACAGGGTATCCCAAAAAAGTGTGACGTCTTAATATTTTTTTTAAATGGCATGCCATATATTTTGTTGCACATTATATTTTGTTGCACATTTGAGTGCTTCCAGTGGTTATCTACATACTCCTGGAATTTGATTGATATTGGTTCAGTGATATTCACGTAAAAAAATATAACAATAAAATTCAATTCTGCACCTGATCAAAAACATTAAAAACAAGAAAGAGAGTGCCTGCTCAGTAGAATCTTGAGAGATACATATCAAATAGGACCTAGGAGGATCGCTAACCGAGTTTGATTGACACGAATCATCACAGGATGTGCAAAATTTTGTGGCAAACTTATCAAATCTCAAAGCACTATATTTTTCTTATTTCAAATTGGAGCCCCTGTATATTTTCATGACATTCGATCCGTGAATAAAAAACAAACTTTTTCACTTATAACAACCATATCGAAATTCTCATCGTATCAAAAGTTATTTGCCAAAAACTCGTTTCATCAACCATTCTAAGTCATTTGAAAGGATAAAACACGAAGGAAGCTTTGATGAACAATTTTTTGATACAACATATCAAAAGTTCATTATTTATTCATTATGACGTCACACTTTTTTGGGACACCCTGTATAATCGAAATTATTTTCCTGGTATGCGCCCTATGATACAATTGAAGTCTGCAAAATATCCCTGACTCAACTGATAACTGAGCTATAGAAGACGGGAGGTGAGATGCAGGACCCTGA